GATAGATAGATAGATAGATAGATAGATAGATAGATAGATAGATAGATGGATGCTGATGGTGACTGACAGCAGCAGTATTCTGCCCTTAAGTCAGGAAGTGATAATTACAGCATCTTTTCATCCTGAGGCGTGTCCTGTACCCGGCAGTAAGTGTTAACACGTTTGTCAGATGTTGTTGTGAGGTGGCACCTCCACTTACGCAGATCTGTCATTCATTTACATGTTAAATCACCCCTTTCGCCAGGGCCTGGACATCCATACCACTGGCTGGTCCGATTTTTGGGTTAGTCAGAGGGGTTTAACTGAATTTGATGCACCAATCGTGTGTGCAAATTTGGTTTTCCTTCAGGCTTTTTGAGTTGTGAACAAGCAGCTGGACATATGGGTGGAATTCAGAAACTCAGGATCCCTGCAGGGCACTGATGACTTCACCAAGAACAACACTAAGATAGCAAATATCTGCGGACTTTAAACAGACCGTCCTCTCTTTTTGGTGGATCATTTAATCTGATTAAACTTTTAATGCTCATCAATGAAGACTAAGAGGAGGGCAGCAGCAATTGCTTCTGCCTCCTCAATAATTTCCAGTATCTCTTTATTTGTAAGCTTTTCTAATGCCTGTGTTTCTACTAAATCCAACACAATGCAGAGCAGTTGTGAAAATGCTTCCATCTAAAAGGATGAGGTTGATGATGTAATGATTTATTGTGCTACAGGACGCTTGCAAAAAACAAAAAAACATGTAAAAAATGGACAAAAGTTCTATAAAACAGCCAAAACACACACATTTGCGCAGAGGTGTGTACGGAAACGTGCACGGGCGACTTTTCACACAGACGTAAGACTGTGTGAGAACTTACTGCTGAGGGGGGTCAAACTGTTTCTTGTAAATAGTGGTTTGTCTACTAAGCACCTGTGTTTGCATTTTCTTTCTTTCCCCCATCTCGGTTTAATTAGCGAAAGCAGGTCCCAGGTGTTTTGGTGTTGGTGGAACAGCAACTGAGCGTTTATTTTCGGCGTTTCGCCGTCTCACATCTCTGACTGACAGCTGAGGCCTCTGGAGGAGCCGTGCTGTGCAGCAGAAACTGACCAAAATGAACAGCCTTCCTGTTTTTTTTTTGTCTGAGACTTCCTGAATCTTAGTCCTTTCCTTCAAACGTGCGGTCAGGGTGAAACATTCCTGAAAAGAGCCGCTGTGGTCCTGATGCTGAAGCCTCTCTGTGTCAGATTCTGCCAGAGAATGAGAATCTGAGCATGTTGAACATGGGTGCTGACTTTATTTGGACTGTTTCAAAGACTGGGCTGTCTTTAGGAGGTGCTGTAGTGCCCTCTTCTGTTCAAAATCCGCAATTACAAAGATGTCACGCTGGTTCTGATTTGTGGCTTTGTGCATTCAGTGCTCAGGCAGGACTCATTGCTTGATTTGTTACTTCTGTTGCATCAATCTGTGCAGATTTTACCAAGGTTTTGAATTATTTTATGAATGGACATAGTTTAGTTTGAACGATTTCAGTTTTTCATTTAATTGGTCAAATCAAGTAGTCTCACGTCTCCTTGAAGTGAATCTATTAACACAAGTACCATCACCTTAAGTTGATACGACTTACTCCTAATAGACAATTATTATTATTATTATTATTATTATTATTATTATTATTATTATTATTATTATAAATAGTCGGTTAACAGGACTTTAATTTTCTTTTTTTTTTAAAGGAAAACATTTTTAATTAATTATCAATGTCTTTGACGTACTTTGACGAGAGAAAAAACACAAATTGGACTGAATAATTTATTTTTACTGCTTTAAGGGCATATAGAAACTTAGAAAGAACATAATTTTTAACAATTCAGTAGAAACATAAGTTTAATGCACACCAAATACAACAATTCAGCTTTGTACAAACATATTATTTAAATGAAGTGACGAGGAACAAAGAAAATATTTTTTTATTTATACATAAAGATGCAGGAGGAACTAAAGGTGGGAGTTCCCGAGTGTTTGCCAGCTTCCCCTCTGTCTCGGTAAGAATGCCATGCTGAGGTGCTCAGTCTCTTGATGATGTTCTACGGGCTGCTGGGAGAGATTGTTGGTCTGTGGGAGGCAGTCCAGGGTCAAGCCCTGGTGGGGGCAGACGGAGTACTGAGAGAGCAGCGTCACCAGGATAGACTTCATCATCACCATGGCGATGTGCTTGCCAACGCAGGCGCGAGGGCCCGAACCGAACGGCTGGAAGTAACGACGAGGAGCCTAAAGAAAGATGGCAGCATGTGGAGGGGGAGAGAAAACAGCCATTGTTAGGGACCCTGAAAACCCAAAGCCTAATAACGAGCATTGATCTAAACATTTATCTTATCCTAAATGTATAATCCACAAGCATCTGCAATCACACTCAAATAGTCCTGAGTTTTTCTTCCATACTGGACATAATGGTTCTTTAAACTTTAGCAGAACTTTTTGAGTTCACGTCACTTTGAATGAACAACATAATGAAAGTAAAGGCTTCTGTCCCAATCTTTATTATTGGTTCTCAGCCCTTAAATCGCTTCAACTTGGCAAGAAATAGTCAATGCTCACTTTTTTCTTGAGGTTATCCAGACTAAATTCGTTTGCTTTTTGGAAAAACTCTGTCCGGTGCATGCGGCCAGTGTTCAGGATTATGTTGGTGCCTTTGGGTACCCTGTAGCCGTCGATGACATCATCAGAAAGGGCCCGGCGCATGGTGAAGTCCACCACTGGGTGGAAGCGGAGGCACTCGTTTATAAAGCTCTCCAGCACCTGCAGCTTCTGAAGGTCCCCGTTCTCAACCCGTCTCTCACCTGCAAGGAAAGAAATCTCCCTTTAATTCTGGTCTGATGTGGCAAAAAAAACAAAAAACAAACATCCAAATTAAATCCTGGACCCAGAGAAACGACACAATGCTCAAATTTTGCTTTAATTCTGATCGTTCGTTTCAAAATGACGACTTATCATGAAGATTTTATTGGATCAGAATCAGAATCAGAATCAGAAATACTTTAATAATCCCAGAGGGAAATTATTTTTTTTACAGGCTCCATAAGCAAAACAAAGACATATACATATATACATGTCTATACATATATACATATATATATACAAAATTCCTCATAAATATAGCTAGATATGTACATAAAAAACAATATGTGTACTGTATATGCATATACATATATATATGCATATAATATATGTGTCATATCATGAATATTAGAGGTGTTCGTCTAAACATGTGTTTCATTCGTGTTTTTTTTTCCCCCTCCAAGCTGCTCACCTACGACCGTATCTATCTCCTGCAGCAGCTGCAGCTCCACATGCGGGTTCTGCTTGAGGAGCAGCAGCATGAAGAAGAGGCTGATGGACAGAGTGTCCGGCGCCGCGATCACCATCTCCAGCACGCACTGCCTCACGTTGTCAGCGGACAGCTCGCCGTGGTTCTGAACACAGACACAAACACAGACACACCGTTTGACTATCGAAAACTTAACGGAATACAGAAACAAAGTCTCAGGCTTTCGGAGGCGACCCACTTGTGCAAAAATGAGCTCCGATGTGAAATTGATGGTGTCCAGCTTATCGGCCTGCTCCATGTCTCTTCTCTTTTGGTCGACAAGGACTTCTATGGCATCTTGCAGCTCCTGGCTGTAAGGAGCGCTTTTAAATAAATGCAGATACGCATTGGAGACTCCTGATTTGATGTAAAAAAAAAAAGAAAAAAAAAGGGAGGGTTGGATTACTCACGCTGCCGTCTTGTGTCTCTGATGAATCCAGCCAAACTTGAAGTAGATGTCGGGTTTGATGAGCACGGTTTGCCACGTATCAAAATACTTTTGAATCTTCAGCAGCAGCTCCTTCTCTACGTTAAGAAAACAGCACAGCGGTCGGATCAGTTGACTGGATTTTGAATGCTTATCGTTTAAACCGATGCCAGAGACAGATCTTCATTTCCAGCCTAAATGAAATGGTCATATTCACCATTTAGTGGTACGCCCAGGAAGAGTCGGTTGGAGATGTCCACCACTGTGCAGCGCAGCAAACTGATGACATCCACATGGGTCAACGCGTCCAGGCCGTCCAGGTGGGTCTGTGTGGAGGACACGCACACCTCCACCGTCTGCTGTAAGTTCGGACCTGTCAGGGCTGAGAGCCAAAGCATTTTTCCAGGTTTGAGTCGGCTAAATGTTCTCAACCAGCTACTCACAGAGCCTGGGGTTTTGAGGCCCGTTACCTTTGGTGAAATAGGTGCGCGTCTTTCTCCACAGAGCCACGTTGTTGTTGAATATGAGGCCTCTCTCATTCATGCCGATGCAGCTGAGCCCCTGCTTGCTCCCAAACCGGGAGGTATAGTTTCCATTCCTGAGAACGTGATGCACGGCGGATGCCCTGCGTGGAAAGGGATGCAGACCGTGGGACATGTTGCATGTACTCTTTCACGTTTTAGTGCTCTAACATCAGTAAGAACAGATTTTCACAAACCCGCTGAGAACCAGGGTCTCCTCTCCATCGATCCACACTCTGACAATATCCCCGTACTTCTTGTTGTAGTAGTTACTGGCTGTGCCGATGCCCGTGCAGATGAATCTCAGATAGGAAACCAGGGGACCCAAACCGAGGCAAAAAGGAGGACCTTTTTTTGGGGGGTAAACGACAACGAAAGCATTTCAGCCGGCGTCAGACTTAGAGCAAACCCTATAACAGACGGACGTGAAACTAACCTGGCACGGATCTCTTGTCCCTGTGGCTCCAGGCAACCAGCAGCAGACACACAAACACCAGGAGGGTTCTCGTCGCGGCGGAGATTCCCGGCGACTGGCCCCCCGTGGCGTTTGGGGACACGGAGACCAGGTTTCCCACTACGGCGTCCATACAAAAAGGAGCCATCACCCGTTCGCAAAGAGAGATCTGATCCATGGGAGTGGGGGGTTCCAAACAACCTGTGCGCAGCTGTTCGGACCTGGTGGGTGCAAATGATATAAACTGCCCTGGGCTTTTCTCTTTATAGAGCAGTCTGAGGTGGTTGCGTGCCAGGTCAGGGTAATGCAAAAGCCACAACAAAGCGGGGAAAATTGTAAACAATACAGGCCAGACCTTGAAGGGGTTGGATTTGTGCCGGTGCCCTTGAGTGCAGATGACTCGGTTGAATGGGTGCACGTTGGCCGAAGCTTGTGTTTGACATTTTGTTGAGGAGAAACATGGTGCCTCCTCCGAACATCAAAAGAATTGAGCGGGAAATCTCACCTACAACAGCTGGACTGGAATATGGAAACTGCTCAGTTCTTCCTGTCATTAAGGAAGGATTATCAGTTGTGTTAAATTCCATACTGCTTTTCAATTAAAGTTATTCAAATCTGTATGAAAATTCACCCAGCTTTTGAATTTCAGACTTTCTCTCTGTGCTATTTTTCTCAGATTCTTCCTCAAGAAGATGAAAAAAACAACACGTCCATTCTTTGAAATATTGTTGATTTTTATCTAAGTCACCTCTCTGGTTCTGTTATCATATTGGATAATATGACCATAGCAGCGTTGTATTTTGTTACGCTAATTTATGTCATGTTGACTGAGTCAATCTGTTTTGAAGAATTGCAACTGATTAAAAGTTTATACTCACGAAATTTGGTGGCATTATTCACGTAGAAAAATTCACGTACAGGGTTTTAATTTGTTGATTTTAAACCAGTTTAATGGTAGATTCGCTCATGATCTAAAACAAATCATCTTGGGACATGAGCTACTTTGAATAAAGACCCATCTTCCAGTCAGATGTCTTTAAAATCTGTGGCAAAACAAAAGAATTATTGTACACTAGAAAATGGCAAGCTTTCAAAGTTGACATAGTTTCTCACCCAGGGAGAGGGGAATAATGGTCTGGACTGCTATCCACATATTCAAATAATCTCAACTGTGCAGAAATGAATCTGTAATCTTTTCCAGGCAAATGAACATCAGCATCTTTTTCCAAGGTCACTGGAAAGTTCCTTTGTTCTTGTCATGACATGGTCCTCAGAGTAAACACTCAGATTTCAGATTTTTATTTTAACCCTGTAAAGTCTTATATAAGAAGAAATGGATTAAAAGTAATATATACATATATTCAAATGACAGGGATATCCTAAAAAGGTGCCAATGTGAATAAAAAAATAATTCAATAATTTGAAAACCTCAAAAATCTGCAGAAAATATTGTATTGGCAGAAACACCTGAGAAGTTTGACAAAGGGAAAAAATGGAACTTGAGAAAGCGACAGGAACAATAACTATTCAAGTAGCAACAGGTCAGACTGCCTGTAAAAAGAGTACTTAAGGGGCAAAGTCTCTCAGAAGTAAAGAATGATGAAAATGATGCAACCACCCCCCAAAAAAAAGATTGAAAATAAGGTTTTCAATCAAAATCTACTGATTCTACTGAATAGCACCCCCCGAGATCTGGGAAACAGTTCACTGTTCCAACAAAGATGAGTTTCCCTTGTTTAGCCATCATTATCACTTCTTTTGAAAGACTGTTCATACTACAGAATTGAACCGTCTTGAATCACTTCAGATCGACATCAGCGCTTGTTTTCCTTTTTTTCATCTCCAGTCTGTCTGAATGTGGAATTGTGTTTTGATCTGCATTTCGAAACACACCCCACGCTGTCTTGCTGGGTCTCTGCCGCGCCGTATTTTTGCTTTTTTCTCCACTGAGAACTCTGTGAATTCACTCACCGCCCACACGCCAGCCCAAGAATGCGCCCCGTTCAAACGGCCAACTGTGCCGTGAGGCCCTGCCCTGATAAGGATGCCCTGTGCGATGCCTCAGATCCAGATTGTTCCGCATGATTAAGCCCCTCCGTAACCCTGTCTCTGGACTCAGCGCTGTGGTCAACCACAGCTTTTGTCCTCACTTCACTCACTGGAATGAAGTGGAGAAATTATTTTTAAAAAATGTAGCTGCGGGATGTCTCTGATTAATCTTTAATCAACGACTTGGGGGTATCGCATGAAATAAAAAGTCAGACAACGGGAATTCAGACTGTAAACTTGCCTGGACAACCTTGAAAGCATTTATCTCGCAATTTAAATTTAAAAGGGCATGGCAGGGTTTGGAGCGAGATATGATAAAAGCTAGAAGATTAACTCACTCCCCAGCAGTTCTCTCCCAAAACATGGGAGACAGATGGTTATTGTTTATCCTCACTCTTATGTGATATAGTCCACCTATGAAGTTTTACATTTTCAATGATGTGATGCTTTGTATCACAAATACCTTAAGCAACACTGCTCTCACTGTTTTTATTTTATTGTGCGTTGTTTTGATGCTTTGATATTTTCCATCTTTCCCTTTCATTTTTAATGGCCTTCCTGGATTGGACCATTAAAGTGCAAATGAACTTGAAACTCCAGAAGAAATGAAGCGCGAGGATAAAATCTGTTGGAAGATAGGTCCGGTAATCTGGCTGTTTTTGAGTAGTGGGACAGATGTGGACCTGTTCTTGTTATAAGAAAGGCAGCTGAACCATGAGCAGGTTGAAAAGTTCAATAAAAGACCACAAATTTGTTAGCACGAATCTTAAATTTATCTGGATAATGAACTCGAGCTTGGCTAAAGGTAGCACAGTTTTTCTCTCTAGTCCTAATGCTGCTTCTCTCTTCCTTTTCTTTTCATTAGCTGAGCTCAGAGAACTGAATGAGACACAATAAAGGAGCATCCGCTGTGTTGTTAAGACTCTCTGCGTACACATCTGTCCGAGCTATTGAAGCTGCCCCACAACTGGCCATCAGTGACCTACAGCCTCCAGACAGGAGCCTGCGCAGCTCAGACTCCAAATCTAACAGTGATTGTTGTGTGGGCCTTTTTTTCTTTTCCCCTCATTGTGGAGCTTGTGTGTCTGCGTGACAAGAAGGATTCAGTGGGATATGGGTCAACCTCAGAAATCAAATATTTCTCATAAAATGCCCCATTTAGTGACTCATTAAAACAACGGTGTGGTGTTATAGGGTTAGGGTTAGGGTTAGTATGGGCCTAAAGGAGGGTGGGACATACAATGTACACAACTTTTAGTGTTTTTCCTTGTTGAGTTATCACTTTTCTGGGGAAATATGACTGTTACGGCCAAACTCAAAGTGAAGGAAATGGGTCATCTTTGCAGTTGGTGAATGGATGCTGCGAATACATGACTGGGATGAGAGCTAGGTGGGAGGAGGGAGGGCGCAAACCTACAGGGGAGACGCACAAAGTCAGTGGAACTGCAGTGACGTTCATGCGCTCGGATGTAAAAGGTCTTTGTTTTTTTTTTCCACGTATTAGCTGAAATAATATCTGTTGTGTCAGCCAGCAGTCGCTCTGTCTGCTCTGCTGCATGTTTACATGTTTTATGTGTGCGAGATGCTTTTGTGCCTGCATCATACACATACGTGTGTGTGTGTGTGTGTGTGTGTGTGTGTTTGTATGTCAGTCTGCCCACGGCGGTGCAGTCAAATGGCTCGCGATGAATATAAATCAGGTGACTGAACAGGCGAGGGATTCTTGCCAGACGAGCCCAGAAGATTGTGTAATGCCCACTCCTACATTACTGGTTTGGATGTGAGCACACACACACACACACACACA